GTGTCGGGAGTAATGGGTCCCCCCGCCCCCAGGCCCTGGAGAAGGTTTTAAAAGGAGCGATGCCGTTGCCAAGCGGAGTGCCTCCGTTTTCTATTGATGTGAATGCCTCTGCGTGCGTGTGCGTGTTGGGGGGTGTTGTGTGTCCGCTTCTCGTCGGGATGCAGGAAGTTGCCTGGTCATTATTAATTAGACCTCTCCTGGACACTTGAGCCACTAAAGACAATGGTTTCGTCAATGGCCTGTGAATGATTGGCTGTGAAAGCTAAGGGCACATCACGGATTGTGGGCTAGATTCCCTAGTGGGGGTCATGCAGGAGGCAGTCAATCGATGTTTCTCTCTCATTGATGATTCTGTGTTTCTGTCCTTCTGCCTCCTCTTTCTCTAAAATAAACACCCCGCTGGACTCGGTCACTGGTTTTCCGGTGGGAAGGGGAGTGTGACTGTGACTGAGCATCGGGGATGGTCCTCAGGCGTCCTTTCCCGGTGGCGCTGGGCCGCGTAGGGACCCTGTGCAGCGCTGTGTCTGCGGCACGGAGGCCGGGGCTACTGAGGGCGATGAGGCGCAGCTGCGCCTGGGTGAGGCCAGCGACTCTGTGGGCTAAAAAAAAATCCTTTGAAAATTATTTGAAAGAATAGGTTAAAACGCACAGGTTAGAAATTCAGCATCTTTTGTTTTCTTTATGGCTGCTTCTGAATCACAGGGTCTACCTCCATTTTTCCCCCTTCCCACTTAAATTCACTTGGCATGAAGGTGGAAATGGAAGAAGTAGGTTAAATTGTTCCTACACTAGGGTCTTTTTTCCCCCTCCTGCCCACATCTCCATTTCTCCTTTTTAACATCAGATATTGGGACGCATTTTCAAGTCTTAGTTTAAATTTTTAAAAAAGGTGTTAAAATGTATAGGTTCATAAATTTTGTAAGGACCACGTGGTTAATCAAGGACGGTATTGTGAGATTTTACCTGCAATGCAATGAACTCTGTATTATCTTGTAGGGAATATTTTTATTGTAGAATGAACCAGGCACAATCCAAAGAGGCAGTTGAAAGTATGGCTGGTGCTCTGACCCAAGAACATTTCTTGGGCCAGAGATTCATACAAAAAATACAGTTGTCCATGTTTGTAGGGTGCTTTTCTAATACTGAGTGGGGTAGTAGAGATTCAAAGGGTCATTTGCTCAATTTCCACTAAATGTAGTCAGAAGTGTTCTATGGCCGATGGCCTGGCCCTGTGTCAAGGGTTGATAGGCACCTACTGTCTGCAGAATTGCATAGTGCAGTTAGTAGGAGAAGCTGCTCTGTGAGCTAATGAATACTGTATGCGGTGCCAGCTTATGCTCTGTGATGGACTTCAGGTGGGAGGAGGATTGGAAGCAGCTGTGCTGTCTCAGGGAATTCACATTCTCCAGGAGAGACTGAAGGGGTCATCCTATTGCCGTGGGCAGCGAGCTACTGGAAAGAGTTAAAGGTCAGAAAGAAATTGAGGGTGGGCAACAGTTTGTAGTTGCGCTCAATTATCTGTGCGTAAAGAAACAGATTTGGCCAAAACCGGTTTGGCTCAGTGGATAGAGCGTTGGCCTGAGGACTGAAAGGTCCCAGGTTCGATTCCGGTCAAGGGCATGTACCTGGGTTGTGGGCACATCCCCAGTAAGGGATGTGCAGGAGGCAACTGATCGATGTTTCTCTCTCATAGATGTTTCTAACTCTCTATCTTTCTCCCTTCTTCTCTGTAAAAAATCAATAAAATATATATTTTTTAAAAAAGAAACAGATTTGTCTCTCTGGAAGATAATTTTAATTGTAATTTCAAGGTGTAGTTCCTCGTAGGTTACAGTTGTTACGTAAAGATGCAGGTACCTGGATTAACAAAGCTGAGAGGTTAGAGAGATCAGTGATGGTTGTCTTTCTATACCTACACACCCTGTCTCAGCAGGGGGACTCAAAATTTAGTGGTGGCATTTTGAAATTCAAAGTATAAATATTGATTAATAGAAGTGGATTTGGATTTTAAAATATTTGTTCAGTTTTAGCATCTAAAAAAGATTTTACATTTTTACCTTAGATTCTCATCTGTTGTAGGATCCAGAGGGTATATTATTGGTGTTCCTTCCAGATGGCAGCTCTTACATGAACTGTTGTAGTAAAGTTGATAAATAGAACATGATGATAGTGATTTGTGCTGACCTAGCTGCACATTTGGCCAGCTCTCCTTGCAATCCAAAGAATTGACCAGCAGGGGTTTTGATGCTGCTTCTGACCCTGCAATAGATGGAAGTTAATTGGTGGGATCAGTGACCAAGTGTTTAATTTAGCCTTATAGCATCATGCCCTAACCCAGCCGAGGGCAAACTACGGCCTGTGGGCCGGATCCGGCCCGTTTGAAATGAATAAAACTGAAGAAGAAAAAAAAAAAGATCGTACCCTTTTATGTAATGATGTTTACTTTGAATTTATATTAGTTCACACAAACACTCCATCCATGCTTTTGTTCCGGTCCTCCGGTCCAGTTTAAGAACCCATTGTGGCCCTCGAGTCAAAAAGTTTGCCCACCCCTGCAAATAACCACTAGTTCAAGTTAAGTAACCTGACATGATTTTATTTTGTATGTAATTTTTGCTTGTAAAGTAGAAAAAGGACAGATCTGTTGATCATATGTAACAAAAGGTAAGGGTTTTTTTTGCTGAATGTTTTTAACACATCGCGGGCGGATCATGGGCATTCTCGTGTTTTCATATTACACAGTGTTTTACATAAATGTAAAAGGCACGCCTTAAAATCAAATACCCCTTGTATTTTGAAGTTATTTATTACATGTTCTTACAAGCTAATATCTTTTTAAAGTGTGATGTTTTGTAAAACGTTTTTTGTACTCGTTCCATAGAAACTTATCTGGCCACTGGGCAATAAAACTACTGGTGCACAATGTGTTAAGCAGCTGGTTTTATGCAAAGGGGTATCCAAAATTTAAGAAAAATAAGTATGTTCTAAATGTGGGTTATATTGTGTGAAATTGACAAAGGAGGGAAATGATTGTGTAGTCTTTCTAAAAACCATTGTACTCTTTAAATTGTTTCTGTGTTATAAAAATATCCTGCAGATATATTATCAGCATTAGAAGTGAACAGATATTGTCTGTATGAGCACACAACATCTACAGGTAAAGCAGAGCTGGATTATAAGTAGTAGTTGTCCATGTTACTAATGTGGTTAACAGAAACTTAAAAATCATCTGTAGTAAAATTTTCTAGAGATTGTTTTATTCAATCTCTAGAAACAATTTTTTCTAAACTGTGGTGATAGAAAGTTATGACTACAGTTTGCTGATACTTACCTGATTATAAAAAAGAACTTAGTGATCGTTAAGGATTTTTTTTGAGATACATGTAAGACCGATGTTTCTTTTCTTCATTTATTAATGTAAATATCTATGCCTAATCTAGGAAGTGTCCAGAAATTTAAAAAAACTACACACACATTTTTGATTAACTTGGAATCTACAGCTTTACAAATAGAAGTATTTTATTTTTTAATTTATTTATTGTTTCTTAGAGAGAGAGAGAGAGAGACATCGATTCAAACATCCATTCGTTGTCCCACTTATGTATGCGTTCCTTGGCTGATCTTATGCCCTGTCTGGGCATCAAATCTACAACCTTGCAAATTTGGGTGACACTCTGACCAACTGAGCTACCCACTAGGGCGAAGAATTTTATATTTGCTTTAATATTTTGGTAGATGAAATACATTTATAGCTCTTACTTTCCTTAATTAAGACTGAAAAACCATCTTGTTTGTATTTACATTTTTTCCTATTTTTAGATAAAAGAAAGTTACTGATTTTTGTGAGTGATAATTCACATACATAGTAAAATTCCATTGCTCATTATTTGGATATGAAGCAAAATTATCCAATAACATGAATTTGTTCAAAACAGAAATTAGGAATTTACCTTAATAGTTTATCTGAATTATCTCTCTTTTGAATACCAGGAGAACTATCATTAATGGCTTCCTTTTTTTTCTTTCTATCAACAAAGATATTCCAGAAATCATTAAAAATTGCATTGAAAGGTTTATAAGGAGATAATAGAGTCATGGCTTATTCCCAGCTAGTTTCATAAAAATGTAATCACTGAAATTATGTTAAGATTTAAAACTCTTATTTAATAAAAGCCATAGAATACATGTGCATTGTTGAAAGATTATTAGAAAATACAAAGAAACTTAAAATTGTCTAATCATTTTGAATATATATCCGGTATTTATACTTTTAAACCTTTTTGATATATACAACATACAGTATATATCTTTTTTATTAACTTTTTTTAGAGAGAGAGAGAGAGAGAGAGAGAGAGAGAGGAGGGAGATCCAGACATCGATTTGTTGTTCCACTTATTTATGCTTTCATTAGTTGATTTTTATAGGTGCCCTGCCTGGGAATTGAACCCTCAAACTTGGTACATCAGGATGATGCTCTAACCAACTGAGCTACTGGCCAGGGCTAAAAATCTAAGCCAGATCATGTCACCTTTCTGTTCAGAACACTCAAGACTTCATATTGCCTACAGGCTGCAAGTGTTGTAGCTTCTACTTCTTTCCTCTCCCACACTCACTCTACTGCAGCCACTTAACCTTTTTTTCTTGAACATACCAGGCATACTTCTGCCTCAGGACTTTGTTACTTTGCATTGCCTATGCCTTCTGCCAGAAGCACTCAAAAGATCTATGTAAAGTAGTAACATACTCCTGCCCTTTGTTCACTCTCTTCTTTGCTTGTACTTTTATTTAACATGACATTTTTTTCTGTGCCTATCTCCTTCCCCTGGTGTATGAGTTCCATGAGGGCAGGGAGTTTTTGTCTCTTCATTGCTAGCACCTGGAACAGTGCCTGGGACAAAACAGGCATTCAGTAAATATTTGTTAAATGAATAAATAGGTACTTTTTAGTAAGCAGTAGAAAATATCTACTTGAAAACCGTGAAGTAGTTTTCCAAATTTGAAGAGTTTGTAGAGTTATGTATAGGTAAATGAAGTAGTTCAATGCTTTTTATTTGTTCAGTATATTTAATGTAGATGCTACTGACAATTGACAGTCCTG